ATATATATCCTTCTGGCTCCAAACAAGGAACTTCAGGGAATTTTAAAAACTAAAACTAAAACTAAGCTCACAGGAATAGATTTACTTACCAGTGTTATTGCTGGTTTCTTTGCATTTAAACAGAATTTTCTAATTTATAGTAGAATTTCTGTTGAACTTGGGATCAGAAATTCTAATTAGCTAGTAAGTATATCTGCTTGACTTACCCAAAAAGAAGAATTGAACAAATTATTACAAAATAAATAGTTTTGCAACAAAAAGTAAACTTTCAAAATGTGAGGCCCAGGTTTAGGAGCTAAAATGGGGACAAAGAAGGGAATCAACCAAAAATGGTCCCTGGAGGCAAGTTCTCTGGTCTAGTGGTTAAGGGAGTCAGATCCCACATAGTTGACTGTGCAGTTCAAATCCTGGACCCAGCAGCTTGAAAGACATGCCGGGCTGATGCGTGTGCATGCCCCAAATCCCAACAGGTAGAGAAATGGAGAAGTGTTGTGATGTGATCATGCCCCATTGAGGGGTGCTTTTTTCCCCCTCTGTAGAGCACATGTGACCTCTGACTTATAAGCAACAACAAAATGGCCCCTGCATATAAAAAGATTAAGAAAAACGAAAGCGCTACAGTAAAGTTAAAGCTCAGAGGGTAGAAAGATAGCACTGTGTGGCAGTTTTGGAATGGCTGTGTGGGTGGACGGACTTTGCCAAGGCAGGTCAGGGACAAGCATTCTGTCTCTGCCTCATGATTTTGGGAGCAGAGTGGCTTTCTTTTTTCATTAAGTGTAGTCTGAAACAGAGAACACAGTTGAGAAGACAAGAAAGAAAACAGGGTTTCCTGGAATTGAAGCCAGAGCAAGAAAGCAGGGTTTACTGGAATCAAAGCAGGTCAGAGTGAGAAACTGTAGAAACAGCGTCTGTCACTGATGTCAGGGGAAAAAGATAGCATTTACATTGCCCACACAACACCACAATAAGCCCTTACTGGACTAACTTACTCCTTCCTCACATAATACTACGGAATAGGTACTGTTATTGACTTTATCTTATTGACGAGGAAACCAAGGCACTGAGAAATTAAGTATGTTGTCCAAAATCAAACAACTACCAATTGGTTATGTTAGAGAGTCCAGGATTTTTTCCTCCATAGCATAGTAAAAAACGTTTGTGCAGCCTTTAGCATTTTCTAGAACTTTCACTCATGTAGGATTCTCACAAAGCCAGGTATTTTAGAGTTCAAAAAATAAGGCTTAGAAAACTGGACTAACATACCTAAGCGAGTGGTGAGGAGCAGTTGAGGACGTGGGTACTGGTTAGATCTCTAGACTGGAAACCTCTCTACCATTCACTAGCTGTGTAACTTGGAGCAAGTCACACACCTTCTCTGAGCCTCAGTCTGCTCACCTGGAAATGCGTACAGGATTGTTTGAAATAATGTACATAAAATGTTATCATACTGATCTTGGTTGTTATTATTATCATTAAGACTTTTTAACTAGAATGAGATAAGCCAAGGTCTTTGATGTAAAAGCACATCTTTCTACTGCCTCAGTGTATCTAACTTCTTTAATTTTTGCTTTTTTAAAGAAAGAGAGCTATACTTTCTTATTCATAGGAAAATGAGTAAGCTGATATCATATTTTAATTATTGGATTTCCGTAGGTGGGTCCTCCTTGAGCTCTACTGCACATTTCCACCTGACCCTTACGGATGTGAATGACAATCCCCCACGGCTGGTCAAGGAGTACACAGGATTGTTCTTCTGCTATCCCCTCAGTAAACCTGGAAGTCTTATTTTTGAGGCCACAGATGATGATCAGAAGCCATTACGAGGTCACCACTTCACATTTTCCCTTGGGAGTGAAAGTTTAAAAAATAACTGGGAAGTTTCCAAAATCAATGGTGAGTAAAACACTGAGAAATACATTGAGAAAAACACTGACAGATAGTGAAATTAGTTTTTTGTTTTTTTCTTGGTAGGTTTGCAGTACTCAATATAGAACTTCTTCCACATTCCAGAAAGGAAGTTCATGCTCTGAAAACTCACATGGGGAGGTCTTGAGAGAGGACAGAAACCCCCAACTTTGGAGGAGGGCAAATTACCACAGCATCCTCCTATGTTTAGATGGATAGTTGGACAATCTGAGCAAAATTTTCCGTAAGAGCTGGGAAGCATTTTACTGCATTAAAAACAAACAAACAAACAAAAAAACTCATTAAAATATAATTGAGATATAAATAAATTGCATATATTTAAAGTGTACAATTTAATAAGAATTGATATATGTAAATACAGTCATCAGTCCAATCATAATAATGAACATTTCCACTGTCCCAAGTTTTTCTTTTTTAATGCCTGCTTCCAGACCCCTAGGTAACCACTGATCTGCTTTCTGTCACTTTAAATTAGTTTTCATTTTTTAATAATTTTATCTAAATAGACTAATATAGTATTTATATCTTTTTTGTCTGATTTCTTTCACTTAGCATAATTACTTATATGCCATTCCTTTTTATTGCAGAGTAGTATTGTTATATGATTATATCAAAAATTGTGATTCACTCACTTGTTTGTCATTTCCAATGTTTGCTCTCGCAAATTAAACAGCTATGAATGTTAGCAAACATGTATCTTTTAGGGAATCTTGCTTTCATTTTTCTTGCTTAAGTACAAAGTGAAACAGCTGGATCATACGGTAGGTATGTATCAATAGTTAAGTTTTTAAGAAAATGTTTCCCATGGGACCAGCAGGTGGCATGGTGGTTAAGGCACTGGACTTATGGTCAATCATGGTTCCAGTCCCAGACTGGTGGCTTGCTTTCTCACTTTCCCTTTCTCTCTGTTTCTCTCTGGTGAGCACATATGTCCTATAATAAACTTAATAATAACAATAATAATAATAAATTAAATAAATTTATGGGGCCAGCAGGTGACATGGTGGTTAAGGGCACTGGACTCCCACATGGCTGATCATGGTTTGAGTGCCAGACCTGGTGGCTTGCTTTCTCACTTTCCCTCTCTCTCTCTGTCCCTCTCTGGTCAAATATAAATAAATAAATAAATAAATAAATAAATAAAGTTAAATAAAAATTTTTTTTAAAAAAAGAAAAGAAAATGTTTACCCCATTTTTTTTAAAAAAAATATCCAAAATGTGTTTATTGGCATGGTTTACCACTCATCTTGAATCTGGATGCATTTAGTGCTGCTTCCTCCTGAAGGAACATCCTTCTTTAAGCCTCACTTTTCTTCATGTAGGCTGACAGAGAACAGTGGAACAGCCAATTCAGAAAAGAACCGTTTGTGCATGGCTTAAGACTGTGGTGATTTTATAGCATCCTGGGCATTTCACATCCATGAAGTAGGACTCTGGGCTCTGCACCAGGCACTTCTTGTATTTACTCTTCCCTTTCAAAGAGAGATGAAGGAGCTCCTTTGTGAGAGGCATGGTCTCGTGGGGAGGTCATCACCACCAGAAAGGTCCCAAATTGTTTTTATCACCTTACATTCCCACCAGTTGAGAGTTCTACTTGCTCAATGAATGCTTTAAAGGCCCCTTGTGTATTTTCACTGGTGAAATGCCTAGCTAGATCTTGTACACACTTTACAAAATTGGTCTGTTTGGCTTCCAGTGTTGAATTGTAAGCATTCTTGTGTATAGTAGATACATACTTTGTTAGATTTATCTTTTGTAAACATTTTTTCCCAGCATATGGTTTTCATTTTTATGTTATAACATGGTATTTTGAATGGCAGACTTAAACATTTTGATGAAGTTTGACTTAACTTTTTTCTTGTATAATTCATGATTTTTAATAAATAACATATAGTATTTAAGAAATTTTGGCCATACTGTAGGTCACTGAAACTTTTTACTTCTCCCAAACTTTATTGGTTTAGGTTTCACATTTAGTTATATGATTCTCTTTTTTGGGGGTAGTGTATATGGAAAAAAATCAAAGTTTATCGATTAAGATGGCTATCTAATTGCTATTTATTTAAGACATCCTTTTACATTGAATTGTCTTGGCAGTTTTGGCAAAAATAAGTTAATTATATTTTCAGGGGTCTATATCTGAACTTTTTATGTTTCACCATTCTGACCATCATTATACCAATAACACATTATCTTGGTTACTGTAGTTCTATGATAAGATTCGAGATTAGGGAGTACAATTTTTTTTGTTTGTTTTGATGCTTTTCAAAATGATCTATTCTAGGTCTTTAGATTTCTGTATAAACTTTAGAATGTAGCTGGTCCATTTCTACTGTTGGGATTTTGATTAAATTATATCAAAATGTAAGGGGTTTTTGGGGAAAATAGACATCCTAAAATTAAGTCTCACAAAGTTCATGAACATAGTATATGTCCTCACCTGTTTAGGTTTCCTTAATTTCTCTTAGTAATGTGTTTTAGCTTCTAGAATATAATTCTTGCAAAAATTTCCCTAAGCATTTCATATTTTTTATCTTTTTTGTTTGTTTTTGTTTTGTCTTTGCCAGAGGGAGGGTATGTGTATGTGTGCTACCTAGAGAGAAACAGAAGGAGAGGGGAAAAGCACCCATAGGGTGTGGTCATGTTGCAATCCCTTCCTTTCCATCTCATCCTCTTAGGATTTGGGGCACACATGTGCATGAATCTACTGTGTTTTTTCAGGTTGCCAGAGTTGGTGTTTGAGCTGCACAATTGGTTATGAGGGACCCTACTTTCATAAGCACTGATCAAGGGCTGGCCCTTGATGTTATTGTGTTGTCAGAAAAATCATGATGCATTTTTGCATAGAAAAATACGTCATGCCTTTTCTGATGGTCGATATTTTAAACTTTCAATATTCTAGGATATAGGGATATATTTGAGTTTTGGACATTGATCTTATATCCTGCTATTTGCTGAACTCACTTGTTAAATCTTGCATTTTGTTTTAGGTCCATAGACAGTCATATATTGTATGAATAATGAATTTTATTTCTTCCTTTCTAATCTGCATACCTCTTGTTTATCTTGCCTTATTACTGGCTAAAACTGTCAGTGTAATGTTGAACAGAGGTAGTAAGAACAGAAATACTTGAATTGTTCCTGATCTTACAAAGAAAGCATTTAGTCTTAGGTGGTTTCTATGAGACAGAAGATTTTATTATATATTCCTAATTTGCTGAGAGTTTTGTTTTCCTTTTATTAATTAAAAATGGATGTTAAAAAATATTTTCTTTTGGGGAGGTTTTTGCTATAGGGTGCATGTACTTACCAGAAAGACAGAGAGAGACAGAGAGAGAAAGCAAGAAATTGCCCCCTAGGGGGGATGGCCATGCTGTAATCCCTTCTTCTCCATTCTCCTCTTGGGATCTTGAGCACGCATGCACACACGCCTAGCATGAATTTAAGCCACTGAGTCTTGAACAATGGTTGACTACATGGGAGTCCAGCAACATAGCCATTATGCCAACTGCTGGTCTTCTCCTGCACTCTTTTCTTTGGATTTTGGGCATATATACACACACCCCCCTGGTGTGTTTTACAAGCCACCAGGTTTGGGACTCAAACTGCACAGTGAGCTACCTGGGGTCCAGTTACCTTGACCATCATGCCACCTGACTGGTCCTATTTTTTTTTTTTTTTGTCTGTTAGTTGGTGAACTGTACCAGTCTACTTTTGAATCTTAAACCAAACTTCTATTTCTATGAGAAAGCCTACATGATGATGAAATATCATTTTTATATATTGTTGAATTTGCTATGATTTTAGAAATTTTTGCATCTATATTCATTAGATATTTGTCTACATTTTTTTCTTATAATATCTTTGTTTGGGTATCAGTAATGCTGGCCTTATAGAATGAGTTAGGAAGTGTTCCAACTCTTCAATTACCTGCCCGTTTGAATAAGAATGTTATAAATTTTTCCTTAAGTTTGGGAGAATTTACCAGTAAAACAATCTGGGCCTCAGTTTTTTGTTTTGTTTTGTTTTTAATGAGAAGTTTTAGCTATAAGTTCAACTTTTTAAATAAGTATAATCCTATTCAAATTATATATTTCTTCTTAGTTGAGCTTGTGATAAAGGCTGGTGGGAACCCAACACTGTATTTCCCTTATAACCAATGATTCAGTATTGTCTCTTTCAAGAAATTGGTCTAATTTTTTGACAGACAATTATGCATAATACTATTTTATTTTTAGTATCTGTGGTATCACATTTTAAATTTTTATAAATTATTAGTTTTCCCCCATTATGTATCTAGTTAGAACTCTGTTGATTTCCTTTATTTATATCCAAGAAAAAAAAGAGACAAATTGAACTCAAGGGAACAAAGAAGAACTAACACAAACCAGAATGCAGTAGAGAAATACTTTTAAACTACTTAAAGAAAAAAAAACAGTCTAAATAAACTTAAAAGTATTCTAGTCAAATGTTCTCTGGTCATGATAGAATTAAATTAGAAACCAGAAAATATAAGAAAGAGTCTCTAAATATTTGAAAATGAACTAATACACTTCTAAGTAACTCCTGGGTTATGAAAGAAATATAAAGGAAATTATAATGTATTTTGAACTAAATGAAAATGAAAACACAATATATCAAACTTCATGGAGCAGCTAAAGTATCACTAAGAGAAGAATGTATAGCACAAATGCCTAATTAGTAAAGAAAAAACAGTCTCTAATTGTCTAGGTTTCTGCCTTAATCAAAATAGAACAAGAACAAATTGTTTTATATTGTCTTCTTCTGGCGATAACATAAAAATGAAGTAAAGGTCTGAGTATTAAATACAAATATTAATGAGCCAATAATATAGATTAAGTAAGGCATCTTTAGACAAAAGCACACAGAACACAAAATTATGTATCGATCAGTTAATGAAAATGTGATAAAGGCTGGTGGGGACCCAACACTGTATTTCCTTATATGCAATGGTTCAGTATTCACTAGACCAGTGTTTGGGGCAACTTTATAGACTATAACTACCAGAAATAATGAAAAATGACCATATTTAGTGTTCATTTCTACAGAGAGATCATGTGTTGAAAATTTAAAGGATGCTTTAGCCCTTTCTAACATTATGAGAAGACACATGTGAGATAATGGAGGTGATAATTTTGGTACTTTAACTCATATTGAATCATTTCCTAGTCTAGCTTAGTCTGTGATACAAAGATGAACTTTATTCCTGTTGATCCAGGGGCCTAGAGTCATGTTTTTACATTATTTGCAATTTTTTTTTCCTGGTCTGACAGGTACCCATGCCAAACTCTCCACCAAGCACACAAACTTTGAGGAGAGAAATTACACTGTCTTGATCCGCATCGGTGATGGGGGCCAGCCACCTTTGGAAGGGACTGTTTCTCTGCCAGGTAAATATTTTACGAAGGATGACTTAGGGTCACCAATGGGCAGTTTGAGGGAACTCTTGTCTTTGATATGGATTCTATAATTGCTCACTTGGAAATTCATCTAACCAAATCCTATTCTTCTTTTCAGTTACTTTCTGCACATGTGTAGAAGGAAGGTGTTTCCGGCCAGTACAGCCTCAGACTGGGATGCCCACTGTGGGCATGGCAGTTGGTATACTCCTGTCCACACTTCTGCTCATTGGTGAGTATAGTGTCTCAGATCCAAGGTTTCCTATCCTGAGCCTCAGAAACATGAGCTCAACTCAGAGGCCTGTCTTCATAGGCTGGTCTGGGAGCTGCTCAAATGGCAACCTAAGCAATAGCCAATGATCTACATCTGCCTTGACCTTCAGCCTGGCCAGAGAGCAGAGTTCCTCATTTGGTCTGTCTGTCTCTCTTTTGGCAAACAACTCAGTGCCTACTATAGTAGTTACCTTCTTTCAACTGTTCTCCTTAACACAAGTTAATAATAGTATCTTATTAATTCATGTATATCTAAGTGATGAGGTTTATGTAGTTTCATCTCCTTTCTCTTTTAAAAGAAAGGCTAGGATTATCTCAATTAATCTTCACCATTTCTCTGTATCTGGTCTTTTCTCCTACAATCCAGCCTGTCATATTGGACTCTAATTCATGAATTTACAAGGGATATTATTTTCTTGTACCCTTCTTGTGACATGGTAGGTGCCACTATCCACCCTAATGTGTATATGGTGGCCATCATTTTGCCCCAAGAACCCCTGTCTGTTGTGCACTTTTCATACCAATTACACTGACTTTTTGAGGTCCCGTTCAGTTACCAAGCTCCCTTCTACCTCAATTCCTTTTCTTATTCTATCTGCCATCCCACTTTAAAAGAATTTTTGACTATATTCATCTCCTAAGTAAAGACTAGGTAAGTTTGGGAATACAGTAGTTACTCCTTTTCGGCAGTTTTGGTTATCTGTAGTCATCCACAGTCCAAAATTATTAAATAAAAAATTCTAGGAATAAATAATTCGTAAGTTTTAAATTGTATGCCACTCTGTGTAGCACACCAAAAGTTTGCAGTGTCCTGCCCTATCCTGCACAGGATGTGAATTATCTCTTTGTCCTGCATATCCTCATTGTATATGCTACCTATCTACTAGTCATTTAGCAACTGTCTTGGCAGATCAACTGGACTTTTATTACACTATACTGTTATCATTATTATATTAGTTATTAATCTTATTGTTCCTAGTTTATAAATTGAACTTTATCATAAAGAAAGGCACAGTATGTGTATATATATATATTATATATATAATGTATGAGTGTATACATATATAATATATACACATAATACACATATATAATATATACATATATAGCATATATTACATAAAATATATAACAGATTATATATAATATATAATACATATATAATATATACACACACACACACACACACACACACAGTCTTGGGACATATCCCTTATGGATAAGGGGAGACTACTGTGTATATAAATAGAAGTAATAATATTTTTCAGTTTCATACCTTTACTCTTTCAAATAAAATAGGATTACTATAAGATTCTTAATGAGTTTCTGAGCAGCTAGTCTTTCCTACCATGATTCTTCTTGACAGATTAATTCCCTTAAAATAACTTTTTTTCATAATGGGCTTTAATTGATAGCACATATTTAGTGCTAAGATGCACAATGTAATCTTGTAGATGTTTAGAGATGAGAGAAACCAGCCTCCATAGGTTTTTGCCATAGGGCTGGCGCCACCACGCTCGAGATGAGAGAAACCAGAAAGCTTAGGTAGTCTACACAAGGACTCTCAACAACATAGGTTGAAGCCATGAGGAAGACACTGAAACAAGTATTTGTATATTTATTTATGGACACAACCAAAGTATAATTGTGTGTAGACACAATGAAAGTTGACTTTAGGTAAGTGAACAGACCAGGTAACAACTTTCTGGTTGTTCTTATTTGAATGCATCCTCTAGAGAAGGGGAAGAAGAACCAGAATTAATATTTATCAAGTATGGACAAAGCTCAGGAACATTTGTCAGATGCTTATACCCTCACGTTCCTACATTCCATGATGGAGATTCAGTGACAGCCCCCAGTTTAGGTATGATTTGAAAGCTGATACACACTTAGTGACAACGGGATAAGTGATAAGCTTACTGATCTAAGAAAGTCAGAGCCTGAAGTCTGTTTTTCACGAAGACAACCAAACTTTATTGAGCCACAACAAAAATAAAGATACACAAGTCATTTTTCCTACTAGGATGCTGTTTTGTAAATGAACATGATGGTGCATTTTAAGATTCTATCCATTTGACCCTGTGTTTTCTCTTTTAGGCATAATTTTAGCAATTGTGTTTATACGCATAAAGAAGGATAAAGGCAAAGATAATGTTGAAAATGCTCAGGCATCTGAAGTCAGTCCTCTGAGAAGCTGAATTTGAAAAGGAATGTTTGAGTTTATATACCAGTGCTATTTCAATAACAACTGTTTAATCCCATAATTTTACTTTTCATCCAATGTGTGTACTATAAATTTTTAGATATTCCCCCTTGCCCTTTAATATTTTACTTCTTAGATATTTCATATGTTTACAGACATTACAGATATTTTCCATTTCCCCATGGCATTCACCTCCCCCTGCCTCTGCAGAAGCCTTAGCTACGTATCCTGAACCAAAAATGTATGTGTTTTTCCCTTTTGGGAAAAGATGAACTAATTAAAATGAACTATTCTGTACATTTTATCTTCCTCAAGAAGATTTATCAGCTGTCCACCATAAAATTTCTTGGATATCATTTATGCTTTTTTCGTTCCATCCTATGCCTCCTTCATCCATACTGCCTTTGCTATTTTACTGACTTGAGAATATTTGTCAGAGAAAACAACAAAGTGAGGTCTTGGGGGGAAAAGCAGCCTTGGCCCTTAGCTGAAACAGAAAGAAACTCTTTGGTGTTATTAACCTTTTGTAATCCAAGGTGGCTTTGGCTGAGATTCCTTAACCTGGGAGGGGCACAGATTCACAGAAGGTATCCAACTACAGTCGCTCTGTTCCTGCAGAGCACTTCATTAGCCCTTACACAGGAACCACCCAACTGACCAGTTTACTCACTAGCTACCACGCTTACATCCTGCACGTGCTTTACTTGTATATTAATAAAATTTTGGATATTACATATTTAACGTGTGGAGGAAAATAATAAAGCATGGAAGTGAAAGAAAATAAGAATAAACATTGACTGTGGTTGTTTTTGTGATCTTATTGGCTCTGCTTTTTGGTTCTTTTCATTTTTTGAGGGGGAGAGCTGAATAATAATAGTTATCCATTGTTCATCAAAATTGCCTTCTATGCTGAATTAGTTCAAGAGGAGGGGTATACAACAAAATTAAAAACTTACTGCTGCTCAGATAATCGTGGGTTGAGGTGTTCCAGGTAAGTACCTCAGGAATTTGAAATAAGACAAACTTGGAAATGTGAGAGCATTTCTAAGTTTGGCTCCTAAATTGAGCCTTGGGAGCATTCAACATTACACAGCCTCTCAGAAATTTTAACCATGAAGAAGAACTCAACTGTGAAAGAATAGTTGTACAATGAGTGCTGAAGCAGGCCATGGGGTTGTGTTTTTCTTTTTTATTTTTAAATTGCCAGAGGACTTTTGTGCTTGCCAGAGAGAGTGAGAGACAGGGGTGAGGGAGAGGGAGAAAGTACCTTTAATGGTCATGCCACAATTTCTTTTCTGCCATTTCTCTATCCTGTTGGAATTTAGGGCATATACATGTACATGCCTGGTGTGTTTTTCAAGCCATCAGGACCAGGATTTGAACTGTACTCAGTCATGTGGGGACTTTGCTTCTTCAACCACTAGGCCATAGGGTGGCCTGGGTTGTGTTTTTCTGAACTAGTCCTCTGTTATCATTAATTAATATCTTACTACACTATTGTGTTGCTAACTAAAATATCTAAGACTGGGTGAATCTAAGAGAACAGAGGTTTATTTGCAGAAGTCATGATTCTGGTGGCAGGAAAATTTAAAGCTGTGGGCCGCTTTCTTTTATAGCAATCCAGCTCTTGTGAGAACTAATCCCTTCTCATGATATCTAGAAATCACTGGGTCTTGCAAGTCATCATTAATCAATTAAGAGTTTTACTTCCATGATGCAATCACCATGAACCAATCACTGACCATAAGGCCTCACCACCTCCCCACACCATGTTCTAAAACATGAAACTTTGGGGAACAATTATCCAAACTATAACACATGTTATAAACATTTTTTTAAAAAGATTTAAATTATTTTTTATTTTGTATAGGGCATTTGTGCTCACCAGAGTGAGAACGTAGGAAAGCTAGTCACCAGATCTAAACTCTGACTATGGTCAGCCGCGAGGGACCTCAACCACCATGCCACCCACTGGCCCCACTTTTTTTAAAAAAAAAGTATATAATAAAAAAGTAAAGTTCCCAAACTCTATTTTCAAGACCTCCATATTGCTTTCTTATATAGTAGTATACAGTGTTTTAAACTATTTTTTCTATCTTTTTACATTGGTCACATTAAAAGCTTAAAAATGGATAAGCTTAGCTCCTATCTTACCTCACATTACAAAACAAAGATCCAAAAGCACCAAAAACAAATGTACTTCACAAATTATACCCCAAACCGAGGAATGTCCAATTTTCTCCGTAGCTCTACAGATATTTTACTTGTATATTTTCACCAAGGAGTGACTGTGATGTGACATTTAGGTCACTTGAAATTATACTATTGCTTGCCCTGCTTATTTTCAGGAAGTTACATCGTCATTACTAAAAGACTAAGTATTGAGGCGAGTCTGCCGAGGTGGACAAAAGTGGACTCTCTCAAGTCCGCATTATCTTCTCTAGACCAGCTGCCATCACCTGATAATGGCTGATCACACAAAAACATTTTCATGTAAAATCATGTTTCGTATCCATACTCATGCTGTCAGTACTATTAATCCTCTCATCCTACCACCGTCAGATCCTATATATTCTTTAAATCTTAAAGACCAGTTTAAATATTGGTCTCTCTAGAAAGCTTTCTCTGATTTCCTCCAGAAAATCAGACCTGGTCTGATCTAAACTTCCACCCTGTGGTGAGAAAAACAGCTTCTCTGGCCAGGATTCATTTTCTCTTTTGATAATAACAGTCAGATTTCTCGTTGGGAACCATCTCCCTGGGCCCCTGACCAGACTATATATTCTGGATAGAACAAATCTGTTTTTCTTTGCCCTCCCACCCAATTATACAGTTGGGCACTTTACCCAGTGAGATTCACTACTAAAATTTTAGTTGAAACTCTTAGAAAGGAGCTTTATTTATACGGAATTTGCTAAACTACTAGGTAGTAAGTTTAAAGTGTTCAGGTTATCATAAGAGACAAATCTTTCCCAGAAAGAGGATGACAAAGTCAGATGAACAAAATTTTGAAGACGCTGGGTACCTGGATCCAGTATGTCTGAAGGCAGCCTTCCGCTTGACTTTTTTTTTTTTTTTTTAATTGCTAGATGTCACATGTGTTATTTAGAGAGACAGAAAGGAGAGGGAGAAAGCACCCCACGATGAGACATGTTAAAGCTGCAGTCTCTTTTCCACGTCTCCATTTTGTCAGGACTTTAGGCATACACAAATACATGTGCCTGGTGTGTTTTAAAAGCTGCAGAGGCAAACCATGGTTAACCATGTGGGATTTGGCTCCCTTAACCACTGGGCTATGACCCTGCTCTGGGATTTTCTAGCTTGTGAACCAATACATGTTTTCTTTAACTTAGAGCACAGAGCATTTCTGCCCCTTGCAACCAGAAGAGTGGATGTTTGTACCTTGCATATGGCTCTTCTCACGTTCTACTGTTTGTACTTGCTTGATTCTGGGATTTCTCAGAATCCTTCTCGATGCCACTATGACAAAAGTCTTGACTTAGAGTGGTTCCTCTATAATTATTTTTGAAGAATGAATAAATGAAATACCTAATTCATCTCAGTCACGTAAATGACAGTTTAAGTGCTGCCCATTGGACCAAATCTGAATTAAAGGAAATCATATCATTCATTCTCTGTGTTCACTTACAGTATCATCAAAGGCCTCTTAAACTCCCACCTCGCTACCCTCCTTTTTCCTACACATGAACCCATTCACACCCCCTCAGAGCAGGCTGTAGTGGTGAATGAATGAGGCTTATGAATGTCAAAGTGCCTGTGAATTTATGGACAGTTTAGAAATAGCTGTAAGACCAAGAGGGTTTCAGGGGATGGAATATAGGTAGAGATTCTCATGAGTAGCTATCTGGAAATTCTCAGGGACTTCTGTGAAATAGTTTACAAGTGGAGATATCAAGATGTTGGAGCATGGTATAGATAGCACAAGCAAATAGCTGAGATTATTTCTGATGTTCATAATGCAAGAAGGGAACAATTTGCTTCCTGTACAATGCTATATGTATTATGGAAACTTGGTAAACTTGGAATCTTAAATGTTGCCCAAAAAGATATATTTTAGTAGTGACTTTTAGAAACTATTTTAACCATTTTTGACAGTATAGTTCTAGTACTGAGTATATCCCCATTGTGTGCAACCATCTCTTCTACATCTCCAGAACTTTTCCATCATCCCAAATGCTATTCTGTACCTACTAAACAACTCCCATTTCTTTCCACTCACCCCAGTCCTTGGTAACACTATTCTAACTTTCTGCCTCTATGAATTTGACTATTCTAGGTACCTCATGTGAATGGAATCATAAAATATTTGTTTGTAATATCAATATTTTAAAACAGTAAGAAAAAGCAGCACTCAAAACTAGAAGTTGTCTCATGAGGAAACTATTTCAAGGCTAATGCTATTTTTGATTTTGTAAGCATTCAGATGTGTCCCACTATACACACATAAACGCACATTTTGCAGGCATGAGAAGATGTCATATCTACACAACATATACACAGTGCACAAGTGTTCTCCAAATACAATACCATACACACATTTCTCCCACAATCCTTCTCATGAAGCCTGGTTCCTTCTGGAGGAGACCCAAGAAACATGGGGAGGTGTTGACCAGATGCCCAGTGCAGGGATCATCAATGAATGCTTGTTAGTATCAATGAGGAACTTTCAGACTATACTCATTCCAGGGCCTCCCTCTTACTTGAATTAGCATCTCTGGGCATGGGGCTCTAGCCTAAGGGTTAAACAAACAAACAAGCAAAGAAACCTTCCCAGGTGATTGTAATGCAACCATAGCTGAGAGTCCTTTTTCTAGACAATCTCTGGAAGACCAAGTTAGCACAAGACCAATGTGGAATATGATCCTTTTAGATTGTCAGAAATTGAATTGCGCACCCCCACCCCCACCTCCAAATTCATATCTGGAAACCCTAACCCCCAATGCGAATATATCTAGAGATGCGGTAAATGAGGTTAAATAAAGTCACAAGGGTAGGCTCTAATCAGATAGGACCAGTGTCCTTAGAAGAAAGGAAAGACACACCAGAGCTTGTGTGCTCTCTCCACATGTGCAGAAGAAAGGCAACAGGAAGACATCGTGAGGAGGAAGCCTTCTGTCAGCCAGGAAGAGAGGCCCCCAGAAACAGCCCTGCTGGACCTTGATATGAGATTTCTAGCCTCTAGAGCTGTGAGAAATAACCATTTGTTGTTTAAGCCTCTCAGCCTACGGTCCTTTGTTACGGCATTCCCATTCTGAGCTAATTCAAAATCTGAAGTCCTTTTCTAGAAACATCCATTCCCAAATCCCTCTTGAATTCCCTCTCCTGATCACTGACCCAGTCCCAGGTGCTACATGGATAGTGATCTGGAACTCAGGGATAGCGGGAGGTGCTGCAGTCGGGAGAGCCATTCCTTGGCCCACAGAGATCCTTCAACTAAAGCAGCCCAGCGGATCCAGACAGGGACCACTCTGTCATTACACTGGAACCTGCAACCCCAGCCACAACACCCAGTAACAGCTTGCTCTCACATGCAGAAGAGCAGCCTCCTTCCTAGGCCAGAGCTAAGCAATGAGCAGTAATGCCTCACTTTTTACCATAGAAACAACTCACAAAAGTGGCTATAAAAATACACATTTGTGTAAAGTGACTCTCTCATGCATGTACTCA